TTGTGTGGGATATAAAACCCAGTAAAGATTTGCAGGAAGTAGGTAATATTCTAGAAAGATTTTCTTAGTCTCATAGTTCTTGGATTAAATATTGTAAATTTAGCTTTTTAATTTTTTTGTTTTATTCTGGGTGATTTGGAAATAATTAAGGTACAGGATGTTACCAAGTGTTTATTAAAAACCTTGGGACTAACGATAAATGCAGAAGCACTATCACTGCACTACATCTCAGAGTGCTCTTGCCTGTCCTGTTCTGCCGATGTTTTTTCCTTGAGGTTATCATATCCCTACAGATGCACACCATGTTTTGACTTTAATTGGTGTAAGTCAGCTTAGATAGCATTGTACTTGTTTTCATGCCCACTGGTTTACCTACATAAATTAAATTGGATTTAAGATGAAAGGAATTCCTACAGTCTTAGCTTGCAATGAGCAAATAAGTAGAACCCAAGTGACTGCCACTGCTGAGGACACCTCTTTCCCTCCTGTGTTATCTCCTAATCACCAGCCACCTTCAATCTGCACTCTGGAAAAGCTTGGAGTGAATTCCATTGTTACTGGGGACAGATTTCTGATGGGAGTGACACTAGGAATCTCAAAGCATGGTAGGGTGTAGGGAGGATTGTAAGGTTCAGAGAGCATTTTTAATTATTAATAAAAATGAAAAAGAAAAGTACAAACCTTTCCTTTTGCAGTCCAGAGTTTGTATAGGAAACACATAATTGTGGCAAAGAGTCGAGTCCACCTCAGGTCTGATGACTGGGGGTCGCCCTGACACTTGGGGTTTCGGGTCCAATTGTTCTTTTTCTTCTTCATTACATAACTGTTCAGATTTTATCTGCCGCAGTTTTTTATTTTTCAGTTCTTGTGGGCTTTCACACTTGGCGTAGTTTCCCAAATTTCTGTTCCTTGGAATCTGCAACATTGAAATAAGCGTTTCTATCTCACAAGTACAGTGCCAGGGGTTGTCATAAAGACGCAGGTAGCTCAGGAGAGGTGTATAAATGAACACCTCCTCCGTCAAGACTTTGATCTGGTTGTGCTGCAGTAAGAGGGTGGTAAGTCTGTTTAAACCAAAGAACGCCTCACTCTCAATTTTGGAGATCTCATTCTGTTGCAGATCCAGGCTTTTCAGCTTTTTAAAGTTGGCAAACATGTTGTTCTTCAATATGCGGATCTTGTTTCTTGCTAACAGCATGTGTAGCAAATCCTGAGGCCAGCCAGGCAGGACATAAACTAATTTTCTTTCTTGACAATCTAAGTATTTCTCGTGGAGGTACATGTACACGTCACAGGGGAGGCCTGGTGCATAGCGTTTGACTGGGTTGGAGGCTCTCCGGCCCCCACCCACCCGGCCATGATTCACCCGACTTCGACTTCTCGTACCTCCTGGGCTTGCTTTGCGCAGCTCAGCAGCTTTGCAAAAGCAGAGCAAGATTACAATGGTAACCACACGCATCCTGACATCCAGCTGGCCCCAGTTACTTGGTGTGACAGATGGAACAATGAAAAGTATTCCTTTGAAATCCAAGTTTGGGTAATCTTAACTAATGCAGTTCAGGAGCAATGAAACCCAGCTGGGGTACGTGGAGTCCCTAGGTTGGAAGAGAAAAAAAACTATGAAAAGTTAAAGGACTGTGTTATTGACATATTATAGGAGCCTTTTTTTTTTTTTCTTTTTTGAACAGGGTCTCGCTCTGTCGCCCGGCAGCCTAGCTCACTGCAACCTCTAACTCCTGAGCTCAAGCAATCCTCCTGCCTCAGCCTCCCAAGTAGCTGGGACTACAGGCACATGCCACCATGCCTGGCTAATTTTGTTCTATTTTTAGTAGAGATAGGGGTCTCACTCTTGCTCAGGCTGGTCTCAAATTTCTGATCTCAATCGAGGCTCCCATCTTGGCCTCCCAGAGTGCTAGGATTACAGGTGTGAGCCACCGTGCCTGGACAATAATAGGAGTCTTTTTTAAGGCAAAGGCCTTCTGGTTAATAAAGATGCTCACAGAACAGTGGCATAGAAGGCTGTTCACTGTTTTACTGGCCTGGTTTAAAGGCCAAATGTTTGTACCCTGAATTTGAATCAAACCCTCCTACCTGCTTAACTGTATGAACCCAGGCTAATTATTTAACCTCATCTCCAGGATCTGTAAAGTGGGACCAAGGATACCTCCCAGTGTTATTCGGAGGATGAAATGGGCTCATATATGTGAAACACTTCACAGTGTCCAAACCAGGGGAAGCACTTCATAAATGTTAGGACTCAGCATGATAAAAACTGAAACCTATAGTTCTTCATCACATTGGAGTTAAGAAATTACGAGTAAACATATTAAAAAATGCTCAACATCGCTAATTATTAGAGAAATGCAAATCAAAACCACAATGAGATATCATCTAACCCCAGTGAGATTGGCCTGTATCAAGAAATCCCAAAACAACAAATACTGGTGAGAATGTAGAGAGATAGGAACACTCTTAACACTGCTGGTGGGACTGCAAATTAGTGCAACCTTTGTGGAAAAGAATTTGGAGATATCTCAAAGAGCTGAAAATAGAAATATCATTTGACCCCGCAATAGCATTATTAGGCATCTACCCAAAAGAGCATAAGACATTCTATTATAAAGACATCTGCACCCAAATGTTTATGGCAGCACAATTCACTATTGAAAGGATGTGGAAACAACCCAAGTGTCTGTCAATTCATGAGTGGATTATTAAAATTTGGTATTTGTTTACAATGGAATATTACTCAATTCTAAGAAACAACAGCAAGCCAGCACCACTTATATTATCCTGGATTGAGCTTAAGCCCATTATCCAAAGTGAGGTGACACAAGATCAGAATAATGGACTCCACATATAGTCTCCATCATATTAGTACTGACTGATTAACACTATGGTGCTCAAAGGGTGGTGGTGTTTACCAGGGATTCGGGGGTTTGAGGGGTAGTCCCACATCTGAGGGATGTGGTGAACATTGTGGAGGGAAAGGGCATACCTCTAACCCTTGCTAGGGAGAGGCAAAGATATAAAATGTGACCAAAATGTTAAGAAAAAAAAGAAAAACAAACATTTGTCGGGTGTGGGGCAGGTGGGGGAGGAGGGATGGGTATACACACATAGTGAGTGTGATACGCACCATCTGGGGGATGGACATGCTTGAAGCGCTGACTTGAGGGAGGAGAGGAGACAAGGGCAATGTAAGTAACCTTAACATTTGTACCCCCATAATATGCTGAAATAAAAAAAAGAAAAGGAAAAAAAAAGAAATTAAAGGAATTCTCCACCTAACCTTGAGAGGCACAAACAAGAGTAGGACTTGAATGGCTGTCTTCCTGATCTTATTTTTTTCTTTCCTTTACTGTCTCTCTGTCACCAACCATGTAGAGTGTGGGCTTCAGAGATGCTCAGAAAAAATGGCACTGTCTTGTCATCTCCTGTGTGTGCTAGCTCAAATGTCATCTCAGTGAAGCCTTCTCTGTTGGTCCTATTTTAAATTGCAGTCCCCTTCACTCACTGGCCACTCCTAATCCCCTTTCTTGTTTTATTTTATTTTTTTTCATAGCACTTATCACCATATGTCAAAATAAATACGGAATTTTCATTCTTTTATTTACTGTCAGCCTCTCCCCCTCAACCAGAACGTGAACTCCAAAAAGGCAAGGATTTTTATCTATTTTGTTCACCACTGTTATTTCCTTGATACATATTTGTTGAAAGGATGAATTACTCTTAATAACTATTCTATTCCATAATAACATTTATCTCATAAACATATTGTTTGGGGATTCTGTTTTTTCCTTAATAATTATTACTGATGACTTCCAAGATCTGTACCTTTTTAAGAATTTTTTTCATTTTTTAAAAATTCTGAAAGTATTTCTGGTTTGCATTTATCACTTAGAGTCCACTCCTGGCAAAGGAAGAAATGTTTAAAATGGATTTGTAACTACTAACATTTCTGTTGCTACTATTGTGGGGCTATGTGGTTATGAGTAGCAGATGTGTTTTCTCATCATGTGGCAATTTGAATGCCAGGATCATTCCCTTGCCTGGAGTTGTCCGACTTAGCGGGGCTCTTGCACCTAGAATGCCTTCCCCTTCTTTGCCTCAGGCATTCCTCCCATTCATTGGTTTGTGTGTCCTCCCCAGCTGCTTCTCTTCTGTCTCACATTTGGAGTTTTTACTGTCCGTCCAGACACAGGGCACTGATTGTGTAACACTTTGCCATCCAGCTGTTTGTATACGTGTCTCATCTTCCCTGAGAGAGCATAAGCTGTGCAGTGGCCTCTGGTCCCGGAGCTAATCAGACACTTAGCCTCTCCAATCTGCGACGTCTCCATTTGCAATTCATTGTAAATGTTGTGTAAATCTAACCTTAAAAATCATAACAAATGTTTATTATTATGCATGCTGAATCATTTAAGACATACATGTTGTAGTGTTTGGGGGCAAGTGTGCTGGTGTCTGCAATTTGAAATGCATAAAAAAGACAGATTGAGGGATGGATAGAGAGATGGATGGATGGGTCAATATATGACAAAGCAAATAGAGTAAAATATAAGTTAGAATCTAGATGGTGGTATATAGCTATTCATTGTACAATTCTTTCCACTTTTGTGTATGTTTAAATATTTTCATAATAAAATGTTAAAACATGAACAAAAAAAAGCAAGCACAAAAAAGCAGGTTGGCTTTCTTCAAGTGCTTCCAAGCTAAAAGTTCTAGTTATATAGTGTTTTACCCAAAGTAGTGTTTTTCTCTTTTCTCCTTCCTCCTATTATCCTCAAACAATAATAAACATGTATATGTTTTAATTTTGAAACCAAAATAAATTGTTTTTCTGGGAAAAGAAGCCATATACTTAGAACATGTATGTTACTTTCCAAGGTTTTTGTTTGTTTTCTAATGAATACATTGCATTGAATGTAGGATAGAAAAACTTTAAGTTTAAACATTTGTAATTTGTTGTTTAGTGATGTGTAACTTCTTTGATTTAGGCCACTGTCAAAACTTGCAAGAGTTGAATGTCTCTGACTGCTCAACCCTCACGGTGAGTATAAGCGGCTTATTTTATGGATGTTTCTGCATTTTAATAGATTCAGACTTGCAGCATTAGAGTGCCAGTGTGCAGAATACATGCCTATGCACTCATTTAGAATTAAATGTGGAAAAAGGCAAAGTATTATAAACACTGGAAAGAAATTTTACTTCATTTGTATAATGCTATTATTAATCTTTTAGATGTATGTCCAGTGTTGGAGCCTCTGGCAAGTAGAAATTCTTCAACTATTACACAAAAATGAACTGTACTTATATTTAATGCTATGTGTGTAGGAGACAGAAAAATAGGCCCCAGCACTGATGATAGGCTCATTTTAGTGGTCTTCATGGCTATTAACAGCTGTGCCAAAGAAGATGGAAATGAGCATGTATCCCTGGCCACTTCCTTGCTGATCCCTATCTCCAGTCTTTCCCTCTCCCCACAATCTGTGTTCCATTCTGTGAGCACATAACACTCTTTCTAAAAGGCAGATCTGACCACTTTACTCTCATCTTCCATCAACTCCACACATTCTGTTATCTACACTATTGGATAAAGTCAAAGCTCTTTAATATCACTGTCCCTTGGAGACCCTCTATGGTTTTGCCTCTGCCTCCCTTTCCATAGCCTCATCTTACTCCAATTCCTGTCTACACACTCAGTTGCAGTGATCACAGCTGCTGAGCTTTCTTTGCTGTGTGCTTTAAGTTGCTTCTTGAAGTTTTGCATTTGCTCTTGTTCTTTGCGTGGAATGCCCTTTCTCTTTGTCCTCAAGTGGTGCTTTCCTCTTTGTCAGGCTTTAAGGCTTATTGTACACATTCCCTCTTCTACCAAGACATCACTGGCTCCCAGGGCTGGGTTCACTGCTGCTCCTCTGGGTTCCTGTAAGCCAAAGTAGTTCTAACCATAGTATTTTTGCCTCCTCTACTAGCCTAAGAGACCCAAAGGGCAGGGATGTGTTTTATTCTTTGTGGCAGTCATAGCACCCAGCACACACTTTGGTATATAGTAAATATTCAATAGTGTTAGTGAATGGAACTATATGAAAATGCCTGGTAGGCAATGGACAACATTGGCTAGAACTTGAGATTCCATCTTGGGTTGATATTGATGTATAAGTTATAATTAACATTATAAGAGTGCGTGAGATCAACCTAGAGAGAGAGAGTGAGAGGAAAAAGGGACTTTTTCTACCTGCCTTAACAACTACTTGTTCCTTCCTCACCACCCCTATCCCAACCTGGCTAACATTTGTTCACTCTTCAATACTCTTCAACTCCATTAGGTCTTTCCATTCACTTTTCTTTTCCCTGTAGCCTTGGGGAATGCTGACAGTTTAGGAGTAAGCAGAGGGTCTAAGAAGGAATAATAAGAGAAGTAGGTTGGAAATGGAGAGGTATCACAAAATGCAAGAGATTAAAGAGTTTCAGAAAGATGTGAGCAAAGCAAATAGGTCTGAACATAAAAGGACTGAACAGTACTACCTGGATTTGAGAATTAGAAGGTGACAGCCAATTTTTGCTACAATATCAGTTGGATATTGTAGTGAGTCATGAAGTGGACAAGAGGTGAGAAAGGAGGCATTAGGCATAAACCAATCTTTCCAGTAAAGTGGTTGAGGGACTGGTAGAAGGAAAACAGGGGTTGGTGGAGACTCAAGGTGAAGCAACCAATGGAGCAAGTCTCTGAGGACACAGGAGGAATTAGGATGCAGAGCCTGATTGTGTGTTGCCCCTCATTAAGCACCAACTCCAGGGTGAGGGCCAAGACCTTTGGCTTAGGTGAAATGGTCATGAATTGGACCCTCCTGCTACTTCCCAGCCTCATTTTTATAGTTATTTCTTTCAAATTTCTATTCTATTTCAATACTGAACCACTTGAAGTTCCCTGAGCATGTCATACCATTTCATTGTGTCCTTGAACCTATTTTCCTACTTGCCTTAACAACCACCCTTCCTTCCTCACCCACCACCCCTATCCCAACCTGGCTAACACTTGTTTACTCTTTAAAACACTTCCAACTTCATTGGGTCTTTCCATTCACTCTTTTTTCCACTGACCTTTAAAAAACAGCTTTATTGAGATATAAATAAATCTATATTTATATTGAGATTGAATTTACCCATTTAAAGTGTACAATTTAATGGTTTTGGTATATTCACAGAATTGTGCAACTATCACCATACCCAGTTTTAGAACATTTTTCTTCACCCCCAAAAGAACCCACGGTCATTAATAGTCACCCCTTGTTTTCTCTCAACCCCTCAGTCCTATGCAATTCCATTCACTTTTTGACAGAATTAATTTTGCCCTCTCCTGAGCTATATCAGCAGTTTCAGTACTTCAACATTTATACTTTCTACTCTATTATATTTATATTTACATGTATATCTCCTGTTTAAGAACTGAGAGCTCTTTGAAAATTCCTCCCTTAGTAATTTTTTCCATGAAATTCATCTTCCCATTTTTACAGTGAAACATTTTTTTCAAAAGATAGTAGACATTATATAAATAAAATATATACATAAATGTAGTAAAACCCTTGGAATTCTTCCATTCCTTACCTCCATACACAAATTAAACCTTTAAATTAGTTGTTTGACCCCTGTCCAACAGAACATAGGATCTGCTCTAGACTGTAAACTAAGCATCTTCGCAGTGGATTATACTTTTACATAAATACACTGCTTCTTTATGTTCAAAAGTGCCCTCAAGGGTGATCCACAAGAAATGAAGGCATAGATACACATGTCAAAGACCACATCAGAGAAAAAATGTTCTACTTTTTCTTCTTGTGCTCTTTCTCCACCAGCAAAGTGAACATGGGCTCCTTCATGAAGAGAGATTTAAAAACTTTACTACCTCATCCTCCAGATGTCTGCCTGTGGTTAGAATCAGGTTGTTTACCAACCGAGTCATTCTTTCTGTGGATATTTTTATTACCTACTGTGTTAAAGATATTCTGCTAGGTGCTAGAGGTAATCGTAAATGAATTGCCCTCAGGGAGCTCTAGTTTTGTACTTGGGTAAAAGATCATATTCTTTGAATTTGGCCTTCTAGTAGGAAAGCCAAAACAATGGCATCTGCGTTGAATTTGTGAACATCAAAGTCTTATCCAATTTTGGAGTCTAATAATATACAGGGATGATAATTTTATCCAGCTACATTTTACTATTGTTTTTCCCTTTGAGACATAGACTGGGGGACAGGCTTTCATTTCTAAACTTGTCTTATGAAATATATTACATTCAGAAGGATTTGAGTACATTGTGGACAGATTCACGAGCCATTTTGCAATGTAGACACTCAGTTTTTGCATTTATGTGTTCAAACATTTGGGGATTGAATCTTGAGTTCTTTTAAATACTGAGAATGAGAGTTATTTGAACTTGTTTGGATGTTGACACTCCTCCAGACAGGAAAATGCAGAGAATGGATTGTCTCCTCATCTCAAAGGGAAAGTCAGGTTCCTTTATGGTGCCTAAAGCATACTCTACTTTCCTCTTCCTGGTCCCTGCATTTTCATCTTCTCTGTGGCTGCCTCTGTAAGGGAATTTAAGCCAGCTCTCTCTCCTCTCCTTGCCCCATTTTATTTGCCTTTTTGCCAAAGTCTTTCAACAAGTGCACAATCACTTTGGTAATTAATTAGCATACTGAACATTTTTGAAGACAGATTTTGTGTGTATTAAAGTATAGTGCCACACATTATGGTTGTTCTCTCCATTCTTTTTTGGAAAATAGTACTGTGCATTTTTTTATCTATCCATGTCTGTCTAAATTCTACATTTTGTTGATGGAGTATCTAGAAAAATTGCTGGCAGCTTAAAGGCAGTGGTAAGAGTACAGTGTTTATCAAAAGCTCTGTACTTGTACTCATGCAGCATTGGCACATAGAACCTTTCCTATTGCAGAATAACAGAAATGTACAGCTTAAAGTAGAAATATGTATTCTCTTCAACGTATGGTTTGCTGCCCCTGTAAATCAACCAATTCCTATTTGAGTGCAGCAGATGCTCTGACCTACATGATTTTATTATTTTAAATATCTATGATTCTGGATATAGCAAGGAATGGAATGTTAAACATCAATGATCCTGCTAAAAATAAATCTTTTCTATCCTTAGTGGTGTTGAGGTGGCCATATTGACCATGCAGAATTCTTCTCTAAATCCCATCTCTTAGCCTAGTGATTCTCTTCCAGACAGAGAGATAATCTGCAATGGCCTATTCTTTTCAGGAGCAATATAATGTCAAACATTGCATGAACCAGAAATATGTAAAACTGGTTGATTTGTTAGTATACCTAATTCATCAATCATCATTAAACAAATAAAAACCTTCTGCTTCTCACTCTATTTTCTATAGGGTTAACCGTAGGAGAAGCAACTCATTGCAATCAAAGTTTGCAATTACTTAGTCTTACAAATACCAATTTGGGGCCCATACTTGAAAGCACTGTTTTTCTGTCTCTTTCATGTCACAGACACACTATTGTCTTACCTTAGTTTCAGCTCTCTGGGGATAAGGATGCTTGAATCTTTGAGATCTTTCCCCAATTTAACCCCAACCCTGAATTTCATGCCCAACTTGTATATAGCCTGTATTTTATTTCAGCCATCTCAAACTTATCATAAATTTGGTAAAAATCTGTTCAGGCATTTTAATATATTTAGTTAATAGAACCACAGAAACCATGCACACACACCCTTATATATAAATACGTTTTGTAAATATGGACTGAATTTTACTGAAGTCCAGTTGTTGAGAGTGCTTACTATTCCTGTCTTACAGAATGATTTTAGTAAGTTTTAAAATGGATCAGTTTTTAATCACTTTCCTGCATCTAAAGAGTCAGGAGTGTTTGACACTTGAGGTCAAATTTCCTGTTGTGGAGTTGAAGTTGCAAGGGTTGACATTTTAACCACTTCAGTACGAGCGTTGATTATAGTCGACAGCCAGAGTTGAATGCGCACAGCTCGGCGTCCACTATAGTTGACAGCCACAGATGAACGCACACAGCCGATTGTCGACTTTAGCTGACAGACGTGATATGGAGGCGCACAGTCGAGCATTGACTTTAGCTGACAGCCGTGATACGACTTTTCTAATTTTTCATTTATCAAAATAAAATTGTGAACATTTAAAAATAACGTAATGAAAACATATGTATATGTTAGCTATTCTGATTTACATTACTAGTAAAGCTGCCTATAAAGTAAAACAAGCTTTCAGTGCTTTAAAGCTTTCCTCATCACACAAGAGCAAAACGGATTCGTGGTCAATGCGCAGCACAAACTATCGTGTGGACTATGACTGCCGGCTGTGGGCAAGGTTTTGCAGCTGGTGAGCACTTTACCGGAGTAGTTATTAATGGAGTGTCATTATAATGGGATGAGACTTTAATTTCCAAAGAAAAGCTAAAGGAGAGAGTAATGAAGCTTCAAGCAAAACCATTGGCTTCTGTTTAACTTCCTTTCAATTAATATCAGATAAAGAATATGAAGAGACTGACTCTTGCATATATATTTTCTGGGGGCAGGAAGAGAGATGATAGAAGTTGCAAAGCCTGTTGGAATTTGATTAGATTCTTCCCTCTGTTTTTTGTGCAGGACGAATCAATGAGACACATTTCTGAGGGCTGCCCAGGGATCCTGTTTCTCAATCTGTCTAACACAAATATCACCAACAGGACGATGAGACTCCTGCCAAGGTAATGCTTGTGTTGTTTGAATGACACAGAAAATAATTATGCTCCACGAAGCTCTGGCTTTCTCTGACATTCCCCAAAGGCAGTGTTCCCTTTAGTAACACCCCACTACTGTGGCACTGATGTGCTGATAATGGGGACTGCTGCTTTCAAGTCCCCAAGCTGGTGCCTGCATCCTCCCTGCTTGATGGGCCCAGTTTGAATAATTGGTCTTTTGCCTTGGCCAGCATTGTCACTCTTGTAGCTATGTACACAGTAGTTTAAGTTAGATTTTGCCTGTCTCTTTCTGGTTCCCTTCCTGGGGGTACTGGAGCCTGGCCCCTAAATTCCAATCTGGTGTCTGGGACCTCTCTACAATAGAATGACAACATCCTGCCTCCCTAGACTTCGAACATTTCTGCCCCAAATTCCCTGTTGCCACTCTTGCTATCTGTTGACACCCTCACCAGCTCCAGGGAACCTGACATTGGTCGTTTTTGACTGTTTATGTACTGTTGACAACACTGGATACAAATATTGCTTCTCCTTAACCAGCACTTCTCTGAAGGTGAAGGGACAGAAGAACAAAAGAGTTGACAGAATATTCAAATCTATTACAAATTTATGTCAATTATTTTTTATTTTCACTATGGAAAAACTACTCAGAAAGAATACATAGAGACATTGGGAGAGATTCAAATTTGACTTTGAAAGAACATTTCTCAAACTATTGTGAAAGAATGAACTATTTTTAAGAATATAGCTTTTGAGATCCTTTGAAAAATAACAGTGACACATTTGGAAAAGCTTAAACAGAAAATTCTGGGTGGTAATTTTCTTTATATTCTGACGCTAACCATTTCCTGCAAATGTGCAAGCCTAAAAAAAGTGACACCATATTTTCTGTTTATTCCATTAATTGAGCTGCTATATTTTATTAGTCAAATCTGTCAAATCTTCCCTTTGACATTTCTTCTGACACTTTTAAACATAGAGGGTCTTCATCCTTCCAGGCATTTAGTATACATTTACATAATTTTTTTTCTTATTTTTTAAATTTAAATATATAATCCATCCAGAAGTTATTTTGGTAGATGAATGAAGCAATTATCTAAACCCCAGGGGTCAGCAAACTACCACCCATGTGACCCAAGGCCTGTTTTTATGCATTATACAAACTAAGAATAGTTTTACATTTAAAGTCTTAACCAGTAATTTAAACCTCATTTATTGAATAAAACTTTTATCATGTGATATGTGATTCCTCCATATATGTATATATCTAAGATTCTTGTATAGGCAAGATATAAACTTTAACATTCATCACTTTCTATAATATTTTTCTATATGTTACTTTATCTGTGTTCTTGAGGTTATTTATGTCTAGTGTATCTGTGTGTGAAAATGCTACAGAATGGTATACTACTGCTTATCTCTTCCCAAACCCATTTTCAGTGACCTCTCATTGATAGGTTGGAACTTGCCAATATGGAAGTATTCTACACCATGGAAAATGGCAAACATTACAAATCAAAGCTTGATGTATTGTTTCTGTTGATTGTTTAGATTTAAGAAAATGATGGAGAAAACAATAAAGCAGATTAAATTTAAAGGTGTGTCATATTTGTAGCTACAACATTCTGAATAGCACAAAAAATTGAGGAAATATTCTTTCAATACTTGAAAACTATTATCTAATTCAGCGAGGAAGGCACTCACATCATTGATGGACAAGTTTGGGCATCTTTTTTATTTCTTTTTTGTCTTACATGTTAATATAAATAAATATATTCATATTGGAACTATTCTCATTCTTAAGTTGGCTCCATCAGTCGGGTGGATACATTTATAAGAGTTACATTGGCAAAAGTCAATGAAAACATTGTGTAAGAATTGATTGGCTACATGGAATTTACAAGAAAGAGTGTTGTATGTTTTGTCATTTGAAAGTTGTATGCTACACATCCTTCATGTCTGTAAAATAGTAAATGTAAAATAGTAAAATAAAATTTTATAGTAAACTTACATATATTTATATGTATACATTGTTTTGGAGAGGAATTTGTTAGCTATACCAGTATACCGCTAATTAAAGATAAACTAAAACTAATTTATATTTTTATAATATTTAGTCTGTCTATCAGGAATATAAGTACACTTTTAAAATTTTTCCAAAGTTCCTAAATCTTTCAATAAAATTTTGTTTTATTCATATAGATAATTTTTGCAAAAGTTATTCCTAGGTATCTCTCTAATTATCGTGAATGGTATCTTTTCTGATTCTATTTTCTCATTATGTTTTCTAAATGGTCATTTTTGGACTTGGATGTGAGATTCAGTTATCTTTTTAAATTTTTCATTTGAAGATTTAATTGATTTTTTTCCCTTTTAAAAGTAAAAAAGGAGGGCTATGAAATTACTGCTAAATAAGAATTTTGGCAAAACTTATATGATTTGATAAGTATGTTTTTCACTTTATGAATGAACTAGTCTATATTTGCTTTCCTCTTTGACCCAGTAATTATTTAGAGGACAAATTTTGGTTCCAAGTGGTTGAAGTTTCTTTGATTAAACCTCTGTTTTTAATTAGGCACTCTGGTCAAGAAATGTGGACTGAATTATTTCTACTTTTTGAAATTTATTGAGATTTCTTGGTGGACTAGTTCATAATTAATTTCAGGAAATCATCCATGAATGTTTATTTTTATTTATTTATTTATTTTATTTAGTTATTTGAGACAGAGTCTCGCTTTGTTGCCCAGGCTAGAGTGAGTGCCGTGGCATCAGCCTAGCTCACAGCAACCTCAAACTCCTGGGCTCAAGCAATCCTTCTGCCTCAGCCTCCCGAATAACTGGGACTACAGGCATGCACCACCATGCCCGGCTAATTTTTTTCTATATATATTAGTTGGCCAATTAATTTCTTTCTATTTATAGTAGAGATGGCGTCTCACTCTTGCTCAGGCTGGTTTCGAACTCCTGACCTCGAGCAATCCACCTGCCTCGGCCTCCTAGAGTGCTAGGATTACAGGTGTGAGCCACCACGCCCGGCCATCCATGAAGGTTTAAAACAAAGAATTTCTTTTAGAGAACAAAATTTCTGAATTTAGATGTGTGTATATACATATAAATTCTTGATGTTATAATAGTGATATATTTGTTACCTTTTACTTCTCTTGATTTATTTTGATGTTATTATTTTATACACAAAGATCAATAAGTTATAGATCACAGCATTTAATCACATAAAATGATATTCTTTATACTGGTTGATGTTTCTGTGCCTTGAATTATTTTTTATCTGCTATTAATATAGTCACCTTTGTTTTCTTTGGCTTTTGCTTTTGTGGAATAACCTTATAAATCTCTGTATTTTTAACTTTTGTGTCACTAGATTTGAGGCTTGTCTTTCATATGCAGCATGTAGCTACCTTCTATTTTTTAAAAATCGGGTCTATGGTCTTATTTTTATCGTTTTGTTTTATGTTTTGATTTTTATGTTACTGCACTGTACTCAGTGTTTCTGTTTTTTGCCATATGAACTATGTTGTTTACTTTTATAATCTGAAGATATTTTAAATGTACTTATACATTCTGTTGTGTATCCTAACTAGTGGCTATTGTATGTTTTTAAAGAAAAACATGCTTTAACATGCATTTCTAATTATTAAAGTCAAGATGAAACTTTACTACTACTACTACTTTTGACTACTCCTGTGTTAGACAAGTGACCTAATACATTTAAATTCACTCTCTACTTTTCCCTTGAAATTGATATCCCTTCACTTCCACTTCCCTGTATAAACATACATATTAATTGTGGTTTTTGCTAATCATTTAACTTTCCTTTTAATAGTGATTTTTAGTATTTGTACTCAATATTGTAATCATATTTATAATGATTATATAGTCCTAACTCTAGTCCATTCATTGATAGTCATTTTTCCCCACAATTTCCTTATTCTGTAATCTTTGTTTTGATTTATCTGATGATGACTAGAAATATAATTTTTAAAACTCTTTTTCAGAAAAGATGCATGTGTGTTAGATTTTTATCCATTGATCTCTGAAGATAATTATCATCTTGGAGGACAAACAATTTGTTTTGGTGTATAGTTCTTGAATCATGTCCTTTGTTTTATGTTTAAAATCCTACAAATGTTGGTCTATAAACTGATATTTCAGATTAAAGGAAATTCTAAAATCATTCCTTTGTTGGTAACCTATTTTTTTTTCTGCCAAGATGCTTACAAGATTTTCCTTTTCTCTGGGAAATTAAAGACATTTCCAAGTTTAATTGTGTTCCTTCAATTAATTTTTCCTGGAACATGGTAAACCTTTTGAACATTAAAACTTAAATTTTTTCTCAGCCAAAGAAGGCATTTTTCTTTTTAATGCTTCTATCCATTTGTTCAGAGTTCGTCTTAGGATTTTATTCCTATCCTTCAAAGTTGTCATTTTCTCTTTCGTCGTTTTTATCTCTATATGCATTTCCATTAGCATACTGCCTTGTGTATATCAGGAGTTCTTGAAGTATGCTCTAAGAACAGCAGTGTTCTAGTAAATGTTTAACAACTGCTTGAGATGGGGAAGGAAGGAGAAGCTCTGATTGATAGGATTTACTGATTTCTGTGTGTAAATAGTTCTACCATGACTGATTTTAGGCTACCAATATGTCATTGAATGTGAGGTTGGGGAGAGATGCTAACAATTGACTCTCAATTGACTCTCAGAGATGCTAACAGCCTCCTACTCAGGAGGCTGAGGCAGAAGGATTGCTTGAGCCCAGGATATTGAGGTTGCTGTGAGCTAGGCTGACGCCACGCCCCTCACTCTAGCCTGGGCAACAAAGTGAGACTGTGTCTCAAAAAAAAAATAATAATAAATAACAATTGACTTTCATGAGTTGGTGCAAGCTGCCTCCAGTGACACCATCGTGAGGCCCCTGAGGATTCAGGATTAAAAATTCCTTAAGGTCTTGCAGTCATGGGGTATAGAATATCACTCAGTACTTTTTTTAGGCATTCCATGCTATGATATATAAGTATGTATGTATATTTATGTAGAGGAATATATGTACATTATATATGTGCATATATAGAGAGAGAAATTATAAAATTCATAAATCCATTTGTGAAAATCTGAACATACAAAATAGATGGTTTGGGAGTAGTTTATTTCACATTACAAAAGATTTTTTTAAATTTAAAGCATATTTTTTCCAATTATATGTTGGAATAACTTTTTTCTCTTGGGAAGTTTAATGTGATACTACAGCTATGTATAACTTTTTAGGGACATTTATTTTACAAATGAAGCTATACATTTAGTGGGCAACAGATAAAAAAGTAGGACTCAAAATAAGAATTTTGTTTGGTTTTATCTTCTAGTTCTTGCCATTAAGAGACTATTCAGAATCAATACTACTTAATACTGAGGATTTTTGTCATATAAAAACTGTACAGTAATTTATCTGTGATAAAACTACTTTTCATAATGATTATTTTTGCTTTTTCCATTGTTTCAAACATGCTTGCATATGCAAAAGTGTTCTTTAAACTATAAATAACCAGAGAAATGTTAGTCATTGCTGCTATCATTCTCTTTTAATTGCCTGTAGTCTTCCTTTCCAAAGAAATCATTTGCCAGAAGAAAAATGTAATTTGCCCTTTCTTGACAACAGTGATTTGCCAGTTTTTTATTTGAACATTTTTCTTCGCTTCTTTAGGGACTTGGTTTTCTAAAGTTGAAAATGAGGGCTGCCCACAGCTCTTGCCCATTCCAGGAAATTGTTTGCTTTTACATGTTTCCTGAATTAAACTCTTTCTATTTATTTCTTTTGCAACAACTTAGGTGGCACGTTCAGCACCTCATCTGGCACAGCATCCTGCCGTTTCTGCCTCTGGTCTCTCTTCCCTTCAATTTGCTTCGTCTCATGCTACAAGAAGTATCATTCTGGAACAATCTTCTTATCATGTCCTTGACATGCTTGAGGTCTAGACCCTTCCCTTACTGTCCCTTGACATTATCCAATCAAACTTATCTAGCTAGGTTTCCCAAGAGAAGTTCTTAACTCTGAGCTTTTGATTGCTACATGGTTCACTTTCCCTATGGTTGGAATGACCTTTTCTTGGCTAATCCCACTGCCTTTACACCTTAAATCATGGCATCTGCTAGAAGTCCATAATGATTTTTTCTTTTCCTGAATTCTGATAACAACATTCATTCACTTATTCACCATGTATTGATCAACTACTATGTGTGAGCCATGCTGGGCATACAGTGCTGAGTAAAACTGTAAGTGGTTGTTGCTCTTAAATGGAGCCATATATGCTATAGTGGTGTTTAATGATTTTTCATATCAATAAATTGACCCTTCAATTGGCTCGAAAATTTCTTATTGTCAGGGACTATCATGTTATCTAGTTGTATCAAAGTAGGGCAGACAGAGTAAGCTATTACCTAGATTGGATAATCTCAAGGTCTACCCAGTAAATATGAGGACAAATCACCCCATTTAGATCTTCTACAGAATTCTATTACTTGAAACTGCCTCTGTGAAACTAAAGAGCCCAATACTCAACTCAAAAGAATCCACATGCAAATTCCTTCTTTTATAGACTAAGCCTCATCTTGGTAGTTTTTCAGAAAAATTTTTATTTAAATATATAGTTTTACATTCCTTCTAGTAGTAAGTCCTTCAGGTGTTGGAAATCTACCACATACTACCTCAGAGGTTCTTTAATGGAAAAAAGACAAAGGAGAAAAAAATAATCTCTGTAGTTTCTGTAAGAATTGTGATTTCTTAAAGAGTATAGTAGTAGCAGAAAAATAAGTAAATCACAAGGAGAGAACCTACCCCCCATAAGAAATAGTTATCAAATAATTAGAAAAAGATAAAAACAGGTTGTAGACACTTAACCTCAAAGTGGAATTAGAATTATCAAGTGGTCTTTGGGCTGGGAAAATGATGAATAAGATCTCACTCTTGAGAGGACATATTTTTTTCCCAAAATTCAGAATAAAAGGTACTGCATAAAATTTGTGATTTTACTGACAACTGATATTTTTCCTATCCCCAGCAGCTTTAAGTCTGCAGCACTGTAAACCCTTAGAAAGGCCTAACTACAGGGCCACTCAAGATTCCAGTGCTTTGCTTTCAAACTGAGGATTCCCATGAGGTTCCACTTAGTAGAGAGCTATCCATTGACTTTCAGTCCAGGAGTCATTTAGTCTATTGAACAGAAGTCTATACAAAAGGTTCTAAACTAGGTGTCAGTGGATTTCCCCAAAGGGTCAAGGGTGGAATTCAGGGTTCCATGAGTTTTAATGAGGAATAAAAAAATCATCTATAATTTCACTAAGCTCTAACTGAAATGTAGGTAAAAACTAGAATACTGTTAGAAGTCTGTGGGACTTTTTAACCTATGTAAATCACAAATATATCCTTCTCATATTATAGTTGTTATAAATATTTCAAAATATTGATACTCATAACGACTTCATAGTCACAGTAGTTATTAGAACTGCCACTAGATCTTGTTATTTAATATGTTAAAGAAGCACATATATTATTATTATGCTCATTTTGTTTTAAAAAATATTTTGATAATTGTATATTTCAATATGATTGGCTGCCTTTACAGCCTTATGTATTTTATTTTATGCATTTTAAAACATGCTGAGAAAGGGTCCATAGACCTCACCAGACTTCCAAAGGTGTCTGTGACACAAAAAAATTTAAGAGATTCTGGTTCAGTTCTCATTTTTGGTATTTGTTAACCGATCACATGAATTTAAAGAAATCAAACAATAGGTTTGGATCAGAGTATAGACACAATGGGATATCTTCCAACCTCTCAGAATCATTTCTGTGCAGCACTCTTGTCAGATGAGTATCCATTCCATTAAATGGAAGAAGATAGTACAAACTCCATAAAAACAATATGTCACCTGAAGTAGTAGTAATAACAGTACATATATTCTTTTTATTTATTAATTAGAGACAGAATTTCACTATGTTGCTCAGGCTGGATTTGGACTCCTGGGCTCAAGTGATCATCTGCCTCAGCCTCCTGAGTAGCTGGGACTCCAGGGACGTGCCACCACTCCTGGATTTTCATATATTTTTAAAGCTTCTACCATGTCCCTGCTTATTTTAATTGTAAAAAATCACCCTCAAGATAATACTGTTATATCTATGTTCTCATTTAACTGCCACACCTCTAAAGGGAAAAAGCAGATCAGATTACAACCATGTTACAGATGAGAAAACTGAGATTTAGGAAAACTGGAGGCCCCTCAGTTGGTCAAGACTAAAAAATATACATAATATTATTATCTCCACTTAACAGATGGGAAACCATCTCTGAAAGGTTAGGGAAATTGCAGCAAATGTCAGGACTAGGATTCGAATCCAATTTGGTCAGATTCCAAAACCTTGTGTATTTTCTATCATGTTTGGCCTCACTATTCCTTTCTCCAAATTAGAGAACTGAAGTTAGAAATGATACCTCTGGCCTCTCCCCAAAGAAAATTGTACTTAGTTGAATCACAGGGTATACTCAAGGGAGAGAGAGAGAAAGCATTTCCAAAACTTTGGCACAACTCTTAGTCCCCTGGAGGCCCCATAGAGGGGACGTGTGTTTGGGATGTTAGTGCTGCTTTCTCCTGCAGGGCCCTGCCTCCCCGGTCTCTAGGGAATGTAAGCCTTTCCTCTCTTTATGTCTAATCTCGTGTACACAGCCATTCCCAGATGGGCATGTATGTTCTGAATCAAGTAATTCTCTATGGGATGGGACTCATTATATCATATAGATGTGTTTTTCAAATTTTAGGAATAAATCTGATTAATGGTCAGTCAATGCTTGTAAATCTTATTTCCCATATGTGAATGTAAACTTTATTATTTATTTGTAGGCTTTTGAGGAGCAGAGAAGCATTTTCTCCTCACTTTTCATTCTTTTTGTTGTTCATTCTAATTTGCTGTTAAGCTATTGTAGATCACAAACCAAGAGCATTTTGTTAATTCCATTACAAGAGCAGGCAGTAGTGGGAGTCCTTGCACTTTTAAAAAATGCCAGGCTTAGGAGGGCTTGGAAAATTGTCCACAGAGTGTCCTCAAACTGCAAACCCTTGCAGGCTAGCACGGGCTCATACCAATTACCCTCCTTTTTTCTGGAAGCTCTCATTTTGGTCATTGCGGTAATGCCATATTTAATCTGTTCCAACTCCAGTGAGATCGATAGCTGGCAATATTGTTTTTAATTCTTCTCCTGTGTTGCCCACTCACTTGCAGACTGTTTTTATTAACCCATGTTTAAACTCTGTATATCAATTAGTTTTTCTTTAGCCATAATAATGAAACTGTTACTTATAAAGTCATGCATATTTAAATGTATTTTTCAGGACATTTGCTTATCAGATTCATTTTAAGAGCCTTTTTTGTTCAACTTTTTCTTCTGCCTCAAATACTCTCCTATAACAGTTAATCTGCATTTAAATGTTTATAAAGGGTTTGTCTTTGTAGACATTTTGCACATTGTGTTAGTGCTCCAAAGATAAAAACTAAAAGCAACTATAAAGTAAACTTTGCAACTTTGGTTTCAGAAACTAACTTCTAAACAATATGAATGCACGGCCTCCACATACCCACCCCACCCCCCGAAAAAACAAAAGCTTTACCCCAGTCAACTTTCTTAAAAATACAGGCAAATATTCTCGTATTCATGAATTATTTTCACTTGAAATGTCATTATGCATTATCTGGTATACCACTGTAGTCTCCTTTAGTCAATAGGGAGACTGTTAACAATAAAGTGAAACTGTTGAACATCTGCAAGGAGAAGAGATTAATTCACAATTTTACTTCTCTTTGTCATAGTAGCTTAAGAAAGACTGGAGAGAACAACTGAAGTATAATCACTTTCTTTCCTCTCTTTTCTCGCCCTGTCTTTTCAGGCACTTCCACAACTTACAGAATCTTAGTTTGGCTTATTGCAGAAAGTTCACAGACAAAGGCTTACAGTACCTGAACTTGGGGAGTGGATGCCACAAGCTCATCTATCTGGACCTCTCCGGCTGCACCCAGGTTTGTCTCTCAGTTTTCCCTTTCCTGCAGCGGGTGAGGAAATCCTCCGGAGAACGGGCTGCATGCAGCCCTCATGTTATACTAATGCTGTGCACGGACCACAGCACACTTTTCAGAGGTTTTAAATTACATGGCTACAGCTGCTGAAATTTTCCTCAGGATCGCTACTATAGGCTCTTGGCTTCCTTCCACTGGAGTGTCACTTCGACAAACAGACAGAGCTCATTGGATGAGGGAACGGACCACTGCTGTGGAGACACTCTGAGCATAGTTCTAATCCCAGAGCCCAAATCTTGAAAACTTTGGAGTTGCTACCAAGATACAAACAAAGAAAAAACTTTTGGGGGAGAATTTGTACAGGATTCCTGAAAAGTTAGTTAGCTCGCTTCCACATGGATTTTTTTTTTTTTTTGTAAAATGCTACAAGTGATAAATATGAGAAAGTAAATATTGTAATTTTAAAATTTTCAGTACATCTTTGAGCTAAATAACCTGAAGATTTGGGATCTACTGAGAAAATATTTACGTTAGAGAGTACAAGATTAGGAAAGTTGGGCAGGAAAAAGGGTAAAGTTGTGGAGGATAGATCATGGCACTTTGGAAGTGGTTACTGCCTTATTGATAGTTTCTTCTGCTCTAATTTCCATAGATTTAAGCTGTAATTCTTTTAACTTATTTTCTCCTGCCTCTCTGTATATTATTGAATTGATGTTGTGGTATGTTCTTCTATAAGAATAATATAATAGCACAGGTGAAAACTGCTGAAATATTGATAGTTACCATTTATTGAGTCATTACTATATGTCAGGCATTATGTTTAGTGCTATGCACAGATCAGATTTACTACTCATTCAGTGCTGTATGGTATGTATTTATTATACTTATTTACAATTGAAGAGACCAACTCTAAGGGTGGTTGAATAAATTGCCTAAGGTTGCACAGCTGGTAAAAGCTCTTGGGCACATGGTACTGGCACAGTTACAAGCACCTGTTGATAGATACCTAGGCAGGCAAAGTTCCCTGGGGGAGCAGGGAGTGAGGGGGGGCAGCACAGGTTTCTCTTCCAGGTTCTTGAATGGATAGAACTCTTACCTAGCCACCAGTACTTTCATACTAAGGTTTCCTGATGCACTAGGCGGCTGGGAAGATGTCGGGAGGACTCTAAGCTAGGGTTGAAAGTGCCTAGCATTTACATTTGTTTACAACTAACTACTGGCATCTACCACAACTGGTGACTGAAGTGGCCTGAACATTCCCCCTCAGCTTGACTGAACTTTAGATAGGTTTCTTCCTGACTTTAGGCCCCTGACCTCCCTTTTCTTAGAGCATTTGCTTTAGAAAACTTGAAATTGTAAATTCTTTCTCTGCCTCTTTTGAGATGTAAATGTTTTTTAAAAGAGTCTTGAGTGTTTTACAACCCAAGAATGTCTTCCCCAAGGAACTGGGGGCTATCCCTTTGATATATAATGATCAAAGAAGATAGCATCCCATCTCCCAGGGAGGGTAGGAGCCTAACTGTTTTTGTTGATGTTGTTGTTATTTCAAGAAAATATGAGAGTAAAAACATTTTGGTTGCTTTTTGTATCTTTGCCTCTCCCTAGCAAGGGTTAGAGGTATGCCCTTCCCCTCCACAATGCTCACCACATCCCTCAGATGTGGGTCTACCTCCCCAACCTCTGAATCCCTGGTGAACATCACCACCATTTGAGCACCATAGTGTTAATCAGACAGTACCAATTTGATGGCAAATACATGTGGAGCCCATTCTTCCAATCATGTGTCACCTCACTTCAGATAATGGGCTCAAACTCAAATCCAGGATAATATAAGTGATGCTAGCTCACTGTCGTTTCTTAAAATTGAGTAATATTCAATTGTAAACATATACCAAATTTTAATAATCCACTCATGAATTGACGGACACTTGGGTTGTTTCCACGTCCTTGCAATAGTGAATTGTGCTGCCATAAACATTTGGGTGCAAATGTCTTTATAATAGAATGATATAATATAATAGAAATTGATTATAATAGAAAATGATATAATATAATAGAAATTCTTTATAATAGAATGTTTGGGTAGATGCCTAACAATGTTATTGCTGGGTCAAATGGTATTTCTATTTTTAGCTCTTTGAGATATCTCCAAATTCTTTTCCACAAAGGTTGCACTAATTTGCAGTCCCACCAGCAGTGTAAGAGTGTTCTTGTCTCCACATCCTCACCAGCATTTGTTGTTTTGGAATTTTTTGATAGAGGCCAATCTCACTGGGATTAGGTGATATCTCATTGTGGTTTTGATTTGCATTTCTCTAATGATTAGAGATGTTGAGCATTTTTTATATGTTTGCTGGCCATTAATCTGTCTTCTTTGGAAAAATTTCTGTTCATTTCCATTGCCAATTTCTTGATGGGGTTGTTTGATTTTTTCTTGTTAATTCTTCTGAGTTCTAGATAGATTCTTGTTATCAGACCTTTATCAGAAGTGTAGAGAACAAATATTTTCTCCCATTTTGTAGGTTGTCTATTTGCTCTAATGATGGTTTCCTTGGCTGTGCAGAAGCTTTTTAATTTGATCAGATCCCATTTGTTTATTTTTGTTGCTGCGGTGATTGCTTTGGGGGTCTTCTTCAAGAATTCTTTTCCTAGGCTGATGTCTGAAAGGGTCTTCCCAACATCAAAGGGTCTTCCCAAAATCTTCTAGGATTCTTAAGGTTTCATGCCTTAGGTTTAAATCTGTTATCCATCTTGAGTGAATTTTTGTGAGAGGTGAGAGGTAGGGATCCAGACTCATTCTTCTGCATGTAGCTATCCAGTTTTCCCAGCACCATTTATTGAAAAGAGATTCTTTTCCCCAAGTTATATTTTTGTTTGCTTGATCAAAGGTTAAATTACCATATGCAGATGGTTTAATCTCTGGAATCTCAGTCCTGTTCCAAAGATCAATGCCTCTGTTCTTGTGCCAGTAATGGGATGATTTAATTATTATTGCTTTATAGTACATCTTGAAGTCTGGAAGACTGATGCCTCCCAGTTTGTTCTTTTTACTTAAGATTGCTTTGGCTATACAAGGTCTTTTCTGGTTCCATACTAAGTGAAGAATTATTTTTTCTAGATCTTAAAGAATGATGATGATACTTTGATGGGCATTGCATTTATTCTGTAGATCACTTTAGGTAGTATTGACATTTTAATGATATTGATTATACCAACCCATGAACAAGGTAGATTCTTCCATCTGTTTATATCTTCTACAATTTCTTTTTTTAGCATTTCGTAGTTCTCCTTGTTTGATGGGTGCCAGTTAGCCAACACAGATGGCCTGATCACAGAGAAAAATATTTGTAAATTCAGGGATAACTCAATGTGCTTGACACATGCCTCCCCCTTCACTATAAGTCCTCCACGACTTTGCTATTAACTCTCATTAGTGCTTAAAACCCTCCCTACAGTATGACACCCCTCCTCATTCTTCTCAGTGTCCACGAGGTAATTATTGTAGCAACAACACATGCACAGATATATAAATACACACACGTAAATATTTAGACACTTTACTGTGTCTAAATCAGAGGTTTCAAATCTATGACCCACTGCCAAGATAGGCATGCAAAACACACATGATCTGTTTTTTATATTTTGAGCCAATATGTAAAACCTGGGAGTTTTCACAAAACAATGTAGATTTCAAGCTTCTCTTAAAAAATAGGAAGAACCAGCCAAATGGGACCTGCATTCCCATATGGCAGCAATGGGCCGGAGCTGAGTCAGCCTCACTCCCTCAAGGTGGAGCACACTCTAGTCAGTTTGCCAACCTCTCCTCCACTCAGCAATGTCTGCAAATGCATTCACATCTGGCCTGCTACCATTTCATGGCATTGCCTGTGGCCTCAGTAAGTATTTGAGTTTCTAACATGTAAAGAACAGAATTCTTTTGCTAATTACCCCTTAATTTGTAAGTCTCAACACACAATGACATTAATATCTTGCATCATTGTGCAAAGCAGTGTTAGTTTCTTTCATGTGTCCCTCTTCCATTTCCATTTGTTCATTTAATAATTCAGTAGAGGTTTAACTCTAAGCGTCGGATGCTATTTCAGGCACCTAAATGCTTTTCACTGGTGTTTGTTGCATGCCTGCTGCAAATTTGGCACTGGCATGAATACAACAGCATCCCTTGTCTTTCAAGAGCTCTGGATTAACATAAATAAAATATGTGAAGGTCTAAACTGTAATATAGGCACTGCTGCCTAAAAAAGGAAAAGTTTATTTCTTCAATATTGTGAAAGAATTTTAACCATACGTTTTAGAAAAAAAAAATGATGGAGAGCTGCAATAAAAAGTAACAATCAATTTCATATGCTCTAGAAGTACTCTACATTCTTTTGGGATTGGATAAACACCCAAGTACATTAAGTAACGTGAATGATTTTCTAATGAGTATCAAAACTTGCAAATGTACCTGCGTGTCATCATCCTTGATTGAGGATGGTGCCTTTGCTGTTTCTTTTCAAAAAAGCCTCTGTTATAATCGGCCCCAAATCAGGGGAAGGCCCCTCCAGTGAGTTCTTTCAGTGTCCATTGCAAGCCTCTAGCCTTACATTTGTCACTTTGAATTATCTTGTTTTACTTTTAAAAATCTTTGATTTTTTTTCTTGTTACTTGTGAAATCCATAAAAATTTGAAAATATGTACAAGAAAAAAGAAGAAAAATTGAAAAATTACCAGCAATTTCACCATTCAGGAATAATAAATGCTATTAGTATTTTGGGGTATAGCTTTCTAATCTTTTTTCTATGTGTGTCTATACTTCTTTTAAGCTAAAATGGATTATATGGTACACAAACCTTTTATTTAATATTCTATAAAGTGACCATCTCTCTATTTTGTTAAATATTTTTCTGTAACTTACTTTTAGTAGCTATATATTAATAGTATTCCATAATATCAAAATATCAATGAACCATTGATTGTTAGCCTACCGTTTCTTACCAACATAA